ATATCGAATTTTTCCGTGCGCAAAACGGATGTATGAATCAGAATTAATGCTAACTACAAGCTGTGTTAACTAATTCGCTTCACTCGACCTATTTCCACTGGCTGGCGCCGAAGGTTCCGGTTCACTCCTTGCTAGTGGCCGGGAGCTTTCAAAAGTTGGCTTGACTCATGTTTATTTCTCAAGTTGAAATTGATCAGTACGCGCCAAACCAAAGATTTGACACCCGCGAAAATGACCCCTTTTAGTGAATACGCTAACACTAGAAATAATTCCACACCGGAATCTTTCGAACGACCATTGATAATTTGACGGGAGGCCTTGTTCCCTTGCGCTTGCCTGAACTATATTCCCTATTCCGGTATTTCTAATTCGGAACGATTGCAAACGTCATCGTGTTATTGGCCCTTGCGTCCGTCGGTTAATTTGGTATTCTCGTTTATTAAGTGGGCGCCTTTTCCAGTCCAAGTGGTGTACCCGTTTGGATTGGACCCCTGATTTTTCTACGATACCCTCTTCTAAATGATTGTGCGGTTCAGAGCTGTGATTCTTACATTATATTGCACTTAGCGGTTGATAAATAGGGTCAATATCAGTATGTTTGTTGATGGCTACTTGGTGGAGTATCGCGATTTCATAGATTCGCGTTCGTTCTTCGTTCTCGCTTGAGCCGATATCCGAACACCGCTCCAGTCGAATTCGCGTCCTACCTTATCATTTATCTAATGTTACCGGATACCTGAAAAAGGGAGCTCGGACTGAAAATATCTAAGCGTATACCTAAGCGTATTTTCGACAATTAAATAGGGCCTATGTTAGATGTGCTCCTGTCTCGCGTAGCACAAATTCTCTTGTTCATCGGACCTGGGTTTGTTTCAAATGACTTGTGTCACTATGAATCTTGCCGCACGAGTAAGCTCCATGGACTTTGGACTGTGCTCAACAAAAGCTTTTTAGTTCTTTTGCTAAAGGTTTATACCTTTTTGTTCCACCTGGATATTGCTAGACCTCTCTTGATTCGTTACAATGAATCCTCTTGCAGGGTCGACGCAGCGCTTGTCACCAAATGAAATATAGCCCTGTTAGAGCGGATACCTTTGCAACGACGACACCGAAGCCAGAAGAAACTCACCACTCACTACTACACATAGAGACCCTGGCAGTGATATTAGATTTCAGCGTAGGAACTGGAGGTGCCTATTTGAAAAATAAACGGACCGGAATCCGTTACCGACACTGTTAAGAGCTGTATTGATGATTCCTTTTGATTTTTAGTTGTTTCTCAATACCCACAAGCTCTATCTCAGCAAATTATGTTGATAAAACAGCCTGCCTTACCCTTAGTAAGAGATACACCAATTATTTACGGCGAAGCCACATGCTTACTGATGTATCGTCGTCTCCTTTACTCGCTTCGCACACGCTATCGAATCAACACAACGGTGCTATTTTTCGAACTGACTGATCAGTGGACCTTCTTCAACGGGCTCAGTTAAACTGACCGCCACTGCCATCAACACTTAGAATTGCTGCGCTAGGTCATATGCCGAAAAGTCTGTCGACATCCCTTACAAATCAATAATGTTAGTCAACTCCGGCAGGCCAAACCACTAGCGCTGACGAGATGGCATAAACGGGCTAATAATACTTTATTCGTATCGCCTAGTTTATTGAGTAAATAAGGTGAAAACAGCTTATGCGCGCGTGGGTTTATGCAAATCTCACATTGGACGTTCCGCAGTTAGGATTTCCTCAAATCATACATGCTAGTGACTACGAGTTGCCCTAAGGATTCAATGCATTTTATTAGATCATGTCTCTGTGATGCGTCTCGCCATCGCACAACAACCGAGCCGTCCTAGAGAGGCTCAACCCTGCTAGTGCAACCTCGCAAAATACTGAAGAATATGGTAGGTTCGGTACTGTGAGTCACCAGACTACACACCAGTCCTCCCACAAAATGTGAGCCACTGGAACTGAGGTAAGTTTGCTCCGTCTTCTGACTGATACCTACCAAAGACTGTCATTCCAAGGACGACATCATTAGCCATATAGTTTATGGAGTCTCCTCAATTTATCCATCAGCAGCTTGAAAGTCTTCGTGGTCGGCCTCGAGGAAAGTTTGCACGGTGTCCTATCACACCAGCACTTAAAGCGACTTAAGGATGCCAGCATGCTGATGGTATAGAAGCCACTGGTGTCGACACCAGTGCCCATTGTTTATGTTTTGACCAGCCGATTGGTTGTAACATACTTCCACAACCTCGCTAATTGATCTCATTCTCTCGGAGCTATATCGACTGAATGTTTGTGCATGGCAGCACCAGACTGGGATTCGCGCAAGCCATGTGTGGCTGTCCGGTAACACGCTGGCTTTCAGTGATATGGTAGTTTGTACCGGAACGTCCTATTCGAATGCCGGTCATCTGTGAATAAAGACAACTACTGGGACTGGTTTATTAATAGCAACACCAACAGGAGACGCTTTGGTGCGCAGACAAATCCACACAGCACGTGGTTAGATAAACACAGTGCGAAGCTGTCCGAGATATTCTTTGAATACACAAAACTCTACCAAACGACCACACGGTCAGAGAGCAGAGCTGCCTTGTGAATTACATCTGGTAATACAACAACGATTCGATATCAGTATCCTGGTAAGGTACCACCCAAGGTTCCCATAAGGCATTAACTTTGATCAGCGGTATTGGCGGGGGGAGGCATTCATTAGCACGAGGTTATTGGAAACTCTCCGATAGCCCACAACCGGGCTCATCAGATAGGCGCAATCCCCAATCTCGTGTCAACCATATGGTCTACTTCAAGCCGAAATGCATGAAATTGGACTGACACAGTTAGCTGCACAACAGTTTGGTTTTGACAGTAAGCTCGCCCGAAACCCAGCTGAATCTATCGTCCACGTTCTTCGTCAACTGAATATACCGCACCAGGACGCCTCATTTTTCTGTTGGTAGGACATTCGAGATATCACAATACGCTGCATACATATCTCGAATATTGTACGGAATGAAACAAGGGGCAGCCATCGTGCAGCACATTCAGTTAAAGAATATTATAAACGAGAGACCCAGCTGAGTCTCCTGTATGAAGATGGGAGCAATAGTCGAAATCACAGGGTCCTATTTACTGAAGACTCCATTGCATTTCAACACACTGATTGGGTGTAGTCGTCCTGTTTAAGTGGACAGAAAATCACCTGACAGCACTGCTTTCCTGGATGGTATAGCTATCGGAAATCATTTGGTTGAGTGCAGGACCTGGACACGACCTCATGTGTCAGATGAACTTGAAGAGGGGCACTCTTGCTTTCGGACCGTAATCAATGCCTCGGGTGCCTGTCAAATTTTCTGACTGAACATCGTACCAGCCAGTGACGTATGGATTCCTGGGACAGCTCCTATAATGCGTTCCAGAGGGAACTATTCTTAACTGCATGGCCTAGTGAATGCCCACAGTCCATGAAAAGATGAGTGATTGGAGTGAACAAAGGCGGGGAATCTAAACCTAAACGCCGTTTACTTGGTTCACAACAAGATTCTCACTGACAACAGAATCCACCCAACGTTGACGCTTCGTTGCTGTGCAATCATGATATATCTGAAAGGCTTACTGTAGAAAAATAGCATAAAAGTCGACGGGAAGGGGACTTCGTGCTAGCCCAATACGATCATTCTGAGGTACCTACCTCCATACACTCATTCAGGTAATCTGGATAGAGCCTGACAACAAAAAAGCCAGACATCGATTAACAGTCATACCTTGTAGCGTATCCAACCAGGCGCAGTGGGGATCACGGGGTCCTACCGACAGCACCCAGCTTTTTCGTAATCTTCTTCATACTCTTCTGCCAGGTCAAAGGTTAGCCCAACGATGATTACATCTTAGCTAGACATGTGTTTAGATTAAGCTCTCATAAGCTGTAGAAGTATGATGCCAGGCACAAGTAAATTTCTGTTAGCCATTAAGTGTCCGGTACCGGCTGAATGAGTGGTACGGTTGTAAAATGCATAGAACTTTCCGATTATCACATCGGAATCAGCGACAGTGCTGGCGGAAGACGAAAGATTCATGAGCTTTTAACCAGTTTGATTGTGCGAAAACAACGGAAAATTCTTTACTCACAAAACCAGTCATTTCCGTGGTTTACTTGATTTATTTAAAATTCATAACCTTACTTTCAACTCGGTGCACAGGAATGCATCGAGACGGTGAACCGACTAAGACCAGAAGACAAGCAATAGTTGTGTAATTGAAGGCATGCATAAAGTCGTAACCAAGATTTACTTTACGATCTAATTGGTTCTTGAGGAAGTGTGCGTGCACACTGCCCACATAAACGGGACCGTGACAGTCACATACCATCTCCTGTATTTAGATGTTCCAAGTCCGGTTGCAATCCATTTATATTATCTACAGGACGATACTAAATGCACTAGCCGGAATTAACAACCACTTCTTGGCTCGACCTAAAGCTGCCACCTTGACGTGGTGGTCGGGCTTGAGTGCTGCAATGATCCAGCGGGCCACAGTGGCTAGAGCTTCGTTCCACAAAGTGCCACCATGCCAGGAAGGTCAAAGGGGAGCAGACAAATCAAGAACAGCGACATCCCATGCAAACAGTAATCGTGCTACGCGGCTGTCTGGGGGTTAAGTCGTGCTATCCGTTGCACTAGGTGTGAAGGTGACCAGCATGTCCATATTCATGGACAGGAATGCGATGCCGCATTCCTGCGACGGACAGCTAGAAAATGTCGGCCCTAAAAATCGCAAACAGCGACCGCCGGTGCATTATTCGGTACAGTCGAAATAGTTTTAAAGCCAAAGAATCCGGTGCTGCCCAAAAGCCACCTGCTGTGCGCAGCTGTATTTGATACGAGTAAAACGACTATTGTGCACTTACGGTAAAACATCCTCAAGAAAAGCGTTTTAAACCTCATCGTGTCCGCTTAACAACGAAAACTTCACTGCAAAACACACTTATAGGAAGTAGCATTTTATTTCGGCCCTACGCAGTCATATATATACACAAAAGAGTTTCAGCTCTCAAGGGAGTAGGTTACACAGTATTGCAGTGACCCTAACAGATAATGTGGTTGGAGCAGCTGAAGTTGCAACGGAATGACTCATGAGTGACTGTCGAACTGTGAAACGAGGAAATTCTATGTATTGCATGATTGAAAATATAAACAGTGTGAAAGTCTTCGCCTCAAGCTTCCGTATCCATGGCATCCCCAGAGGAGTCACTTTCATTGGAGGCAGGAGAATTCTTTGACTCCAGATTTGTGTTTTGAGGTGAGACGTGATCCATGTCCTCAGGACCTGCTAATTTGACCCCAACAACAACCGGTTTAGTCGAAAGATCATTTGAGAAGGACTGTGAGAGGGAATCATCGTTTTCAACTCCATTCTGACACGCTGGTGAACGGTCCATTTCACTGCCGTTCTCACTTCTGGAACTTGATTCACTGCTATCACGTCTAGGATGTTTCGTCGTTGATTGACCACTTTCTGAAGTTGGGCGGACTGGACTTGAATTGCGGCCTTCTCCGATAGCTGATGCCGAGTCTCTTTCCCTTCGTTCTTCACGCAAAGACTCTGACAGAGTGGTTGAAACTTTTGGACTTTCATCACGATGCTTCCGAGATTTGCTGTCTCTGTGATAATCCCTATCCTTCTCTCGGCGCCGGTCTCTGTCGTAGTCTCGATCACGTCTATCTCTGTCTCGAGTGCGATCCCGACCGTCTCTGACAGAACCACGGTCCCTATCTCGGTCCCGGCGATCTGCCCGTCGCCCTCTGGATCGGCTCCTTGATGAACGCCGCCGACTTGAACGTGACCGGGAACGGTGGTATTTCCGGCGTTCTCGCGATCTAGAATAAAGGAAATTCCAGCGAATAAGAGGACCTGCGGGAACGCCTTAATATTGCGAACTGACAACATAATATCAAACACACGGGTGTCGCTTTCTCAGGACTCGGCAACCGCGACACAGTCAAATATTGCGATCGTCCTGAGGAGTGGGGTCGGTAAACACTAGAACCAAACCGGAATGCTGGATCTATTCCTGTGACTGGTCACAGCGAAAGACCGACGGACGGCAAGCCTATCAACTGCTGACACCAATACGCATTTGGTGAAGGCTTCGCCAAAGTATGTTGACGGGAGAAGTTAACCCACAAAAAGCAATCAAATCGAAACTAAGTATAAACACCTCCGAAAACTTGGAAACCGAATTCGGCTTCACGTTCGCAAGTTTTACTTCAAATTCAGGGAGGCACTTTGAGCTCCAATAATTTCTGGGATCAGTTATTCGTGTTTCCGATTGTATGTTTAGCATACGTTTACTGGAAAACGCAAAGCAGACATACATTTTATGTCCGCAAGCGCTACGTAAGACGCGTAGGGATGGAATAAATCGAACCTATCTAAAGTCAGCACCGTATACCTGCTACCTCATCCAGGTTCACCTGGTACCATGCACTCACCGCATGCAAATTCGTCTGATTCCTGGCGGGACTCGAGATACTTCGGCGGTTAGGCCACGAAACTACTGAACGAGAAGTCCGTGGTTCAAACCTGAAACTCGCTATTCGATTGATCTTGTCAAAGCTTGGGTGACCTGGTCTTTGAGACCCTGACAATTCCCCAGTCTCGTACCACCATGAACTCCGCAACTACAACCATTGCCATGCAGCATCTGACTTTTTGCACGCTTCAGCACTAAAATTGACCACTCTGTTCGTCTTGCATAATATTTAGCTACAACTCCTAAGCGTCCGTCTTCATCAGAAGTCCTAAACAACACAATGTCGGCTACTTTGACGGACAACCTGTGATAGAAACTTAGTGTGAGTATAAGGAGCTCCCTTCACCCTCAGAAGTATCCGAATGTACATCCCTACTCAAGCGTCATTGTGAAGAGTTGGATAATCAAAACTAATCAACTGGCCTCAACCGCGAATTCAGGGTTATGACGACAGCGGTGCACCCGCAGCAGCAGCTGCAGAATTGACTGAAGTTCATGGCCACGGGTCCAATTACCGTATTGGGACTCTGCGTTAACTTTTCCGAAACAAAGCAGTCTGGATGCCTAGTCAATGTGCCTACAACTAGGTACCATAGTGATTAACTGTGACAGAAGAGGTAAGGTATAAAGACGAAGATACGAGGCATCAGTAGCTACACTTTTCCGCTAACCCATCAGTGTGCAGTGAATAAAGCAGACTAGGATGACGTCATCACGCCTCGGCCACTGTAGCACGAGGGTAACTTTTGCTGCGCACTCCACAGTTGTCTGAAGCTGAGACACCGTCAGAGTGTACGACAATGGATTTACAATCCGGACTGACTCGAAAGCAAGACTGCAGCAAGGACCAACATCATAGCTGAGGCAAGTTGCCAAATTTGTCCCACCCACGAAATTAAAGGACTAACACCTTGGGAGGATGTATAAATGCCGTACGGACATCCTATAGCATAAATTGAGTACACAGATAATTGAACCACGGCGTTATCCAATAGTGAGTAATGAAACTGACATGGTCTCTACGGAGCTGAATAATGGCACAGTTTTGAAAATTGGGCTGTAGAACATCTCCATGTCCTGGTAAGGGTATGAAACCAATGGTACGGTCACACTGGGACCAACATTGTCCACCGATCCTAAATAGTGTTCTATACGATAATAGAATCGAGGGAACTCCAGCAACTGGTTCTAAGCAATAGAAACAGCTTCCCGATTGCGAAGATACCTCTGGAAGCAAACAGCCGGTTTTGAATATAAAATCAACCTCGCATTCGTGACGAAAACTTGGGACAAGTCAACAGCCAGATTAGTGCCCTTGTGCCATGCGATTTGTATGACTGGCATCACTGTAAATAGTCGAAACTGATCGGGGTCACCGGATGATAAAGTTTTAGTGAACAAACGAGTAATTTGTTGCTGCGCAGCCTATCGCTTTTGATACAAAAGCTCTATCAGACCAAGTGAATAAATTACCCAGATGGTCGAGTTTTGATGCAAACGAACGAATTTGTAAAGCTTCCAATTAGCAGCTTAGCTTCCAATTAGCAGACTAAGTTAGTGCCGAATGTTGGCCAAAAGCTGTTGTTGGTGTGGCTAACAGAGGCCTACGGCTGTTCGGTTAGAAAGAAAAGTGACAACGGATAGAGTCGAGTTTTGGGCCTTGTTCTTACCTGTGAAATAGTGGTTTATTATTATCCTTGAGCACAGTAAGTTGTTGGCTTGCGACTTATCGAATGTTAAGATAAATGGGTTGGAGATGGAACATTAAGTTCCTATCCTTACCTCAAATTTAGTTTGCATTAACTTTCTTACATTATACTGCAGTGTATATCAACAGGCCACGCGCACTAAAACTAGACCTTCCGCAGTGCTATGCCCACAAATGCTGAGCGACATTCCGTGAACATCGTTGTACAAAGCAAGCTTATCACTAGCTAGTACTATCTAGTCATACTTGTATGCTTTGTATTTGTTGGGGATGTCAGTATCCCCAAAAACTGCTTATTTTCCGAGTTAT